TAAGTCATTTTGCTGCTCCTTTGGCTGAATGTCAAGTGTCAGTCTTGAGTTATCTGCATGAGCAGAACGTTTCTTGTCAGCAATGTCCTCTGCGTTTTGACTCATTTCCTGTAAAGCGTCGGTTACTGCATCGCAGAAGCAAATATTCCTCTTCGAAAGCAGACCTGCCCCCAACTTGCTCTTCTATACGGCGTGCTCTCCTCCTGGTCGATGGCTGCCGCTTTTCTGCTTGAACACAAGAAGCTTGTCAATCACCCTCAATTAGTGTGTCTAACGATGCTAACCTAACCTCCTCCTCTTAATCTCCCTCTTATCTAAGGTTATCTATACCCGGAAGTGAGTGGATTTATTCCTTACGTGGTTTTGTCATCGAAGAGAGCCATAAATATGCGGGCAGCAAACGCTGTTCTACGCAGTGCAACCGTCATTCCTGTTCTTTCGTTAGAACAACTGTCTTTATGCCGTACAGCAGAACAGACCTGATAGAGGCAAGATATTGGAGTATTTTTGTGGGAACAACAACCCCCTTTCTCAGCCCAAGTATTGAACAGGTTTCTAAAAATAGTAGATTAGAGCAATTGTCCAAACTACAGCTGGGTAGCCCCGTCGCTGAAGATGACGGAGCTGAGATACTTAAACTGGTTAACGTCCTGAAACGGCCCACTTCCATGTTCTACTTCTAGATCAGCTGTGTCTGATGGGTTCCTCAAAACTTTTGACCGCCGCGCGTTAAGGAAGAGGCCGGCTGCGCAGCTGTGTTGCAAATAGAAGCCGTCAAATTACTGAGCTCGCTTTCAGTAATACTCACCAAAACAATATTACCTGCGTGCATGATGTCATGAAGATTTATATGCAAATGTCTTGACCTGCATTTTCTCTCTAGAATGAGATCCTCATCTCTGCCAAGGCGAAAAGTACTTCGAAGAAGAATGTCGAAAACAGTGTTGAATAGCAAAGACAAAGGCACATAGTGCAGAAGTACTCATCAGTTCTCCTTGGCGAACAAATCAGACAGCCCTCCTTCACTCTTGACAGCAGACACGGCACTGTTCCTGCATGTATACAAAATAAAAACCATCTGTTTGATGTTCCGCAGTATTTCAATATTTTCATATTATCATAAATTTTATGGATCAAATACAGCCTCAAAATGCGAAGAAACTGGCAAACCAAGGCAGCTGAAATCGTCATGGTTCTCTGATTCTAATTGCTTAATGATTCTATGCAGAGGAAAAATTTGGTCGAGGCAGTACCTATTAGAAAGTGTGCTTGTTTTGACCGAAATCTCATATCACGTGCTTGGCTCAGCCTTTACAGGATACCTTGAGAGTTCACAGTACTGTGGTACTAAGATAGTTGAAACTCTTTTAACTGCTGCGACAATTACTCACACTTTTATTCTCCAAAGGAAACTCTTTAAATCCATATTTGATCAAACAGGGCACAGTTAATTGACTGCGAGGAATGAGATTCCACCAGTAGGCCTTCTTAAAATTGAGGTATAGGAAGGCCTTTTGAATTTGTAGTTTTGTGTGCGGATATGTACTAACTTGTAGTGTTTGCAGAAACTTAACGGGTGGAACTCAGGAACCTGGAGAGCAGCCGTTCAGCAGTTGCTGGAAAAGCTCAGTCTATCTTTTGAGGTGTTCTAGCCGATGTGCCAATGGGATACTCCAAACGTCCTGGACAATGATGAGACGAGTTCTGTCCTGAACGAACAACTGTCGAGCCCAATTGAATACTGCTTGCCAGTTACCATTTCTGACTTCCCCTCCAATGAAAGTTCTCCATCCAGTCTGTAGCTCTGATCAACTGCACGAACAAAAGGGTGATGAGCTGCCTTCAAGGGTACAGTAGGGTGTCGCAAGTACTCCTTCTCTGACAGATTCTTTTGTACTCTAAGAGCTAGGGTCTTCTCCATAATCCAGGGCGGTTTGGTCATTCTCTTCTTAATCCCAACCACGTTTTCGGCCGTGAAAGTGAAGCCTGCAAGCTCCATCGATGCAACCACATCCAGACTGGACATTTAACTCACACTTTCTTTTAGTAGGTCGACATTGCCGTTTCATCGTATTTTAGCCAGCCAACATTGAACAGCTGCTGTGTTTCAACCAGACAACGTCTATGCAAGAAGGCTAATTTGAAATGAGTTCCGCCACAACGATACGGTGATCAGACCCAATGCTGATGGAACGAACTGCTCCATTTGTGGTTGTTGAGGACATGGTGTTTAGGCTTCCATTGGAGAAGTCTAGCTGGCTTTGTAAATACTGTACTGATGAAAATGCGTCCCGCCGTCGATTAAACTCTTTGTCACTCAAGGGCAAGATACGCCTGTCGTTGTCATTCGCCAGTTAATACAGACGGCCGAGAACACCTTGACATGTACTCAGTGCCAGCCGTCCCGTTGAGGTCGCCTGTGACGAGTGTGGCGTCGTGACTCGACATAGCGGTTACAGCCGGCTGCATGTAATCGTGAAAGTGTCTTTGTCGCTGTCACTCGACAGATGTTTCGGACATTGGCACTCATTATTGCCTGTCTGATATTTACGCGACAAACCAGATTCCCCCCGGTACCTGTTCCACTGAACTCACCACCAGGCTTATTCTAAGGGAAAGAGGATAATCACTTCGGTAAGAAATAATCTGACTGGTCTTACTACAAATCGACCAGCCATCCTGCGAGTTAGGCGTCTTATTCCCCAAGAA